ACATGGCCAAAGTTCAACTTTATACAATGAAGTACTACAAAAAATGTATTGTTTGAAAAATGAGTTAATATATTAACGTTTAAAACATGAATATTTTACATTAAATTTATCAATCGATATGTATAGTATTTGTATTATATATTTTATTAATTATAAATTATAATAAAGAGTTAATAATGTTTAGAACGTAAGCAGCGGCATAGTCAGGATATCTAAAAAAGGACAATTTCTATAGCTATATTATAAATTGCATAATATCATATATTCACATTATAAGCAGAGGTATTGGCATTTGGCATAATCGTACATTAATATATAGTTGTCTATCGAGTTTGAACGTAGGTACGACTGATATAAATTCAATAAAAAAATTAAACTTAATATTAAATTGTATTTCTTTTAATATTGATAAGTTTGAATAGTTTGATTATCCTAGGTATCTAAAACTATAAAATTTATTAGTTTTGTACCTAACGAAGACAAAATGTCTTCACAGTACTTCTAAGTCAGTTATCGGTATCTATTTGAACCTGACCAATGGGAGAACATTATTTTCGTTAATGCTTGTTTATTTTTATTTTTATAGTTAATGAATTTATATACTCGTATTATATATTAATTTTACTTATTAGTACCTATTATAGTATTACACCTAGAAAATATAATATGGTGTGTTTATTTTAGTTCACTAATTTATTAATCTTATACCATTTTAGGGACTTAGGGTAGACAGTTTACCATTCTGAGAACGTCTATTTTTGTATTGAGGTTCACAACATTATACGAAACTATGATAGACTCTTCGACTCTTCCAGTAAAACATAATATCTCGAGTGCAGACGTATAATACAATTCTGCACCAACGTCGAAGAAAAACAGTTATCTTCTTCTCGCTAAACGGACTTAAACTTGAATTTATCGAGATATTTAATAAGAACAACTTAAACGGAATGAAATATGCGAGTATGTACATGTTCATGTTACATATAAGTACTAATTAAGCATTGTGTAGCGAATAAAGAATTGTCCGTCTATTGTTAGTTAATTTTAGGCTAAAATGCACTTTACCCAATATAAATTTTTTATTTTTTTTTTTTTTTTGGAGCTTTCGTATATTAATGGGCTAAGCACGACGATGCAATCAAAATTTAGTTCCAAAGTTGTACGAGTAGACTTGTAGTATATAACGTAATAACTATTTAATCACTTTACTTATTTTACTTATTTTATTGTTGTTGTTGCTTACTCCGTACCACCGCACCCACGGGCACTACACAATCAAGTTAATTTTGACACTTGGCGTAATGACATATTATAATCTAATTTCCATAATAATATAATATAATCTAAAATCGTATTTCAAATTACATGATTAAGTATCAAACCTCCCAAAAAGTTGGCTATTTTAGTTTGGCTTTTTGGGTGACCAAAGCCGGTAGTAGAAGGTATCAACTACTTATCACACTTTAACTTGCTTTCTTTAAAAATTTCAAAAACTATCGTTTTGAAAATGTTAGAATATGTAAGTACCAAAATAGAAAAAAATTAAAAAATTGACCATGGTAAATTATAGTGTATGGCCAATGGGCAATGAGTAAAAAATGCGAAATTGACCGACAAATTCGGATTGCACCATTCTACTTAAATGGTTAACATAAGTAAGTTATAGAAAAAAAAATCGAAAAATTTGCATGGTAAAGTACATTTTGTTCCTTATTTTATTTTCATGAAATTAATAAAATCTATATTTTCCATAGATCTTATATGTTATTATAGATTATACATTTATACAAGGGTTTTGTATAACAACGGCTTAAAAAGTGACGTAAACGTCTCGGAAATAATGTAAGCTGTCTTGACGACAGAATACAAAAATGCATAGATTTATCTTACTCTATATACCTACTACTCCGCAAAACTTTACATAATATATCGAGTAAACGAGTAAACAAAAAGTGCCCTCTATGTCTAGCACTTTTTTCACATTACACTCACTGCTTGTTTAAGGTAAAGGGCTTTGATATAAATTATTTAGGCTCTCAAGTATAATATTATGACATTTTCATGTATAAATGATAGTTATTGTAATATGATAAATCCATAGACATTTAATACTCGGTTGTATGTAATCATTTGTTTTTTTTTAGTTTTTCTGTTTACATTAATGAGGTGAAAATAATTGATTAATCAGTATTGGAAATGGGTCCACTATATCAAGGTTTTTTAAATAGAAGATATCCTAAAAAAATTACTAAAATTATTACAATAATACTATAGAGTTCAACTCAAGAAACTTGGTCAGCGTCGATTTGTGCGTAGAGGTGAAACTTCATAACAAGTATCTAGTTTATAGATCAGTGGTTCCTAATTGGTGGTCCGAGTGTTGATGTTAGGAGGTGCGTGGTTATTTAGTAGGTACTGAAGTGATATTTTTATTTTATTTTAGTAGATGATATTGGTTTGAAATTCCAGGATATTTTGTGTAATCACTATTGAAACTCTATATCGCTAAAAAGGTTCACAATTAACATATTATATATATATATATATAAATTGAATAGTAAGTTACAACAAATAAGGGGTCCCTCGTTCAATTTAAGTTCTAGCTAGGGGTCCGTGGCTCAATGCTAATTTGGAACCACTGATAAAGATAATTAACTGGGTGGGGATGACAAGCAGGTGTTGCCTGACGAAAATTGGTCACCACCGACTACGTTTCTTAAGTTGAATAGATTATAGCTGGATTATTTAGTAACAGCATAATATGACTCCAGTTCATTGCTCGCTGCCTCGCTATATCATAAAACTATCTTCAATTGAATATTATGAACTTTTGGTTATTTTAATATAGGTTCCATATTTTACCTTTACATTTTTTTTTCTTCATAAAATCAATCTCTCTGTAAAATCAATTTGCGCATTTACACGTACTCACAATACATTATACAGAGTTATAGGGAACGGCTTCGCGCGTACTCTCTCTAGCTGATCAAACTTTCAAAAAATAAATTAATAAAATGGCACTGCTAACTTATGAGGTAGGCATGAAGTGTCACATCTTACATCTATGTAGGTTATGATACCTACATATTAATAAATACCAGATGAGCAAAGTTCAAGCAAATATTATGAGGCCAATGTACTAACAACAAACCCACTACTATACCTTACATATACATATTATGCGACTAGTAAAGTTGAATGCATCCTCATACCGATTATTATTTTTCTCAGCCCCTCTAAAATACATACATAACACATAATTTTTGTAAGACGGCGCTCTGTATATGCATTTTTAATACAGCATGTATGAAAACTTAACCAAACCATAGCAGCTGTATCGCAAAATGGTCTTAATTATTGTGAAATTAAGAAAAATAAAAATAAAAATGATAGTATGATATATTATTATAAATTATATTATAGTTATTTTTAAAATAGTCCTACTTTTATCRWTTTATTACCCATGCGAATGTATAATARTAATAATGTATGTCAATACACAGATGCACTCATTCAACTGAACATTCCAACCACTCTAGACGCAGCCCTCGGTCCAAATGCAGACTCTACACTCCATATCTTGACTTTTTTAAGAAAATATGAATTGTACAATTTAATTTAAACAATATATTTATGATACTTGAAAAAAAAATATAATCAACGTTTACGACTAATGGCCGTTGTCGCCAATGTCTTTAGATCAAAAAAAAAATAATAATAATAATAATGTATTATAATAAAATTGTTTTTAAGTTTCTATGTGTGGAGTATGGCTTGAATGCTTGATACAATACATATGGAGGAGAATTTCCTAATTTTCTTAAGGTTTTTTTTTGAAAAGCTTGAACCTATCTTATTTAAATTGGAATTTTTACCATTTTCTCTGGAATCCGTATGCACACTGTCAATAGATTTTTTACATGAAGAAATGTGGGTATGCCTTAAAATGTAAAAWAATCAAATTAAAAATGTATGAATATTTTGAATATTAATAATTCTCATTAAAAAATAGTGGCCCGTCATAAACTTAGTAGTTCATATGTTTTAATGTTTTATTAWTATAATATGCACTCATTGATATTACATCTTCATTCACAAAAAAGTAATAGACAAAACAACAACCAATTTGAAAATCTAGATTTAAAAATCATTGTATTGTGTTAGTATAAGAATTAGAATATTTCAAATAGTGAAAGAAAGTTAGTGATGACTGATGACTTATGACTAGCAACCAATACAGACAATACAGTATGTCAGTATTATTACTTATAACATGTAAATTTTTKTCAGTTTACTGGTTACTGTCATTTCCTATTAAACACAAAATGAATTAAACATATTCTAAGGAGTATACAATATGTCTCTGMTGGTGTATGTTCTTAGTCCTAAAAAGTGAAAATCCTATTAATTTATTTAACATTACTGCAAATAGTCTTTTAAAATTTTTATTTTAATAGATTTCCATATATTTAATCAAGTTTCTTATATGGTAAATATTATTTAATTATATTAACAGATTATTTTTTTATTGCAACTCATGAATCATAATATAAAAAMCCTAGTTAAAATTGTGGGTAAGTAYATAAAAAAATTCATGAAAAACTCAATGAATACAAATTCACATTAACTATTTGCTACTTTTTAATGYCACCTATAAAACTRAGTTATAATGAAGAGATAATTCATCAAATTTGATCAAGACCATAGAATACATTTCAACGATATCTCAGCATTAATCGAACATTAAATATCATAATTTTTACTAGTATTACACAACTATTCAACCAAAAATAAATTAAAATCACTATTAGCTACGTACTATAAATGCTATAGAAAAATAAAAAATAAACAAATTAATTGGCCATTTGAATAAATTATTTATTTTTTTACAGAAACTATCGTAATTAAAAATTAAATCTGTATTTAATTATTATAAAAATATAAATACATTTTAATAAAAAGTAATTAATGATAATATATTAATATTGATATTATAAATCAGCTTGAAGAAAAAATTGTAATAAAAAATTCATCACAAAGCAATTATAAAAACGATGTAATTTTCAATTATTAGTAAGCATCACATACATTTGACAATGCCAGTAAGGTAAAGTAAATACTATCAGGATCTTGAACAACAAATTTTTCTTGGATTAAATTAACTGTATCCTATAAAAAAATAAAAAAATATTTGGTTACACAATGTTTTTCAYAAATTGTTAACTACAAACTTACTTCAAGCAATGAATCTGGAGTYGTTGGTCCATGATTAATAGGATCAAACTTTCCGCCATCTAATAAAAATAAATCACTCAATTAAATCAATTTTTATTAATTATACTAGTTAATAAATAGTAGATTTTATACTAACCTAATTCATATAAACATCCATCTTTGCAAACAAATGCAATAAAGTGATAAGGTGGCACATCTTCTGGATTGGGCGCCTAAAATAAAATATTATTTTAAATTAGAACTGGGATTTTAGTAAGAATACTAATTTAAGTAATATTAAACAATAAACTGATCTTTTTTTTATTAAAGATATTGTTAAGAAAATAAGAATATTTAGGAATTATTGTAACTTTTTAAAAATTATTATTAGCTTTTAGTTAACATCTTTTATAGCTCAAACATTAAATTAGGTACTTAAGATAAGATAAAAATAGAGATATAGAACACAAGAATAGTTTTAAATATTTGAAATTATAACTTTACATTCTTTTATTTTCATTAATTAATTAAGAAACTGATCAAGGTTATTTTAGAGTTAATCGAGCATACCATTTTTAAACCTTTTAGAAAACAATAGATTCAGAGGAACTGATTTTTCAAACCAGTAAATTAACACTGGAATTTCAGTATTATTATTTTAAAGTATTTGTGATCACTGAAAAAAAAAATATTTTTAATATTTAATAATTTTTCACAAAATATTTACCGCAGTTTGTCCTTCAACAGCAATTTCCTTATGAGTGTTTATCATATCTACAGCTTTGGTCAACATCTCACCACGGTCACTTGGAGACATATTTTTTCCTTCGTCCAAAAAACGTTTTAATATACCATCATTCAGTTTTATTCTAAAATTTTTATTTAACTTTTATTCATAAGTATCATAATAAGCATAATGACAATTAATCTTACTTGTCTCTATTATTAGCAACACTATGAATTAAAGCCATGGTTCCACAAGCATTGTGTATATATTGTTTGACAAAATATATATCATCTGATACTTGTTGACCTTTATCTTTTAATTTCAACTCTTCTTCATTCTTACGTTTTTCATACTACAAATAMATTTAATATAATATCACATATAAAATACATTTTGATCATTACTAAGATAAAAATAACTCAATTATTCTTACAGCATCATTGTACGGAAATAACAAAATTACAGAAGCGACTGGTCTAGGAACAATGGCAAGTTCATCGGGCCCGAATCCAAAAATATC